ATTATAAATCAGACCTCTATCTGTCCATCTACCAGCAGTTTTGGGCATCTTCCTATTTTGGTGGTGACGGAAAATACCCAATGACTTCTCTGGTTTAATTAGTGCCCCTTTCTGAAAGATTTGATGATATTCTTCTTTTACAAGAAGATACAGGAGATGACATGACTGCATTTTTCATGGATCTATAAATATTACAGCCAGGAAAGGCCATTTTAATAACCTCCTCTGATATCTTATGTGTGGCAGGCCATAGATTTCATCTGACTATTCCTTCATTTCAGACCAATAATATCTGAAGTGGACTAGAACATACTTTTCTCTTTTCTTGAAAAGCATCAGTCTTGATTTAAAGTCTCTGCAGTGTTCCCACTGCAAATTCAAGCTCAATTATATTTGCCCTTATTTTATAACAATTGTAATATGCCAGGTTGATGGAGATATCCCTTTATTTCATTTTTTGGTTGCCCTGTGTTAATTTTAGTCTTTGTTTCTGACATATGTCTGTCTGCTACATGAAAGTCTATGGTACCATGTGTGTTTCATGTGAGCTGTTCCTGGCCAATTAACTTGGTGAGTCACTCATCTGCCACTGGTGCTTCTGAATCTCTTTAACTGCTGTGCTGCATCCTGACTTCTTTCTGTAATTTGGTAGATCTGTTTTGCAGTATACAGAGAAGGGAAGTGTTCTCTTGGCATCTGTGTCATTCTTTGAGTTTTGATTAGAACCCTGCCAACTGAGAAGATGTGTTTAAGAAAGCTGGTGTGCAATTAAAAATGGCAATGTACAACATCAGCTGTTTCCTGATGCTTTCTGTTTAGAAAGCTGGAGTTTACATATGACAAACCCATGGTGTTTAAGCAGGCCACACAAATTGTTCTGGTTGTTGCCTCATCCCTGAAGCTTTCTCAGCAGTGAGCAAGGAGTGAGGTGTGCAGCATTAATGATGGTGACCTCATTAATGTTTATCAAATGGTAAAGGGTGAGTGTCAGGGGGAAGGAGCCCGGCTCTTCTCAGTGACAGCCAATGACAGGATGAGGGGCAATGGGAGCAAGCTGGAGCATAGGAGGTTCAACCTGAACATGAGGAAAAACTTTTTTACTGTGAGGGTTACGGAGCACTGGCCCAGGCTGCCCAGAGAGGTTGTGGAGTCTCCTTCTCTGCAGACATTCAAAACCTGCCTGGATGCATTCCTGTGTGACCTGGTCTGGGTGATCCTGCTCTGGCAGGGGGGTTGGACTGGATGAGCTTTCGAGTTCCCTTCCAACTCCTGAGATTCTGTGATTCTGTGTGCTTTAGTCATTCTGGCTATTCCCCTTCTGTGACTAAAAAGTGCAGTTGTGTTGGCTCATCTGGATTTTGGCTATTTGACAGGATCACTGTTAATCCCAGAGGAAAACTATTCTCATGAATACCAGGCTTTATATGATAAAGAACATTGCCCTTGATTTGGTAAGAGGTTATGCAAAAACAATACTGCTTATCTGTGTGTTATTTATGGGATTTGGGATTTGATAACATTTGGAAAGAAAAATGACACGGAAAAGTTCTTGCTATGACTCAAGAAACTTAAAGTAATACTACTGTCTTGTTATGTATTTATTTTAAATAGAACAACCCCTTTATCTTACCATTTTCCACAACCATTATTACAAAGCAATGTCATACTCTTATTTATTCTTTACTTTTTTCAGGAAAGTGCAGTGGCTGTTTCAAAGGCTATCTACTCCTCTGAAAGACACTATTTATCAAAAAATTATCAGCCTAGGTGAAAAGGGAAATTGTTTGCGCTTTACTAGTGCCAAAGGGCTGATCTAATAAAAACAACTCTTGTAAGTCACCTCCACTGCATTATACAGCTACTAAGAAGGCAGTGGTCATGACTGCAAATGAACACTTGTGGTGTTTTCACACTCCTTGCAGCAAGATAAATGTTCTGTGACTTGCTATGTAAGACTTCAAACCTGTGCATAAACCATATGACAGCACTAAAATTACTTTGATTGGAATATTATGCATCACTGCCTTTTAAAAAAAATATAAATTAATGACTTCAGTCTAGCACACGTTCAAACATAGAATCTGCTCCTGTAATCAGCTTTACAAAGGTTCTGCTATGGGCCAAGCTTCGTATTAGCTTGATTTCACAATCAGTGATGTGTGACTTAAGTTATAGGTTGGTATTATGTTCAACATTGTCCAAACAATGTAATTAATATGTAAAGAAGCCAGAAATAACCCTGAAAAGCCCATTTCTCACGTATATAAATATGAAAGTATACCTTTAGGTAGAGTTGATATTTCTCAAGAAAAAGAAATACTGCAAACTTAAGCTGCTTGTGTCATTTGCTTTCTTTAAGCACAAGTGTTGTGTGGCCAGACCCTGATGGAGCACAGGGCAGGAACACGGTTAGCCTTTCCCCATGGCCAGTGCTGTGACTTCTCCAGTGCAGAAAGGGAGGAGTGGGAGTTACCACCCATGCCTCATCATTCATTGCTTTACTCCTCAGGAAGGAAACATATACATACACATACACACAACATTTGGTTAGCGCTTAACAGGAACCATCACTTTTCTGGGTGCTGTTTCAGCAGCATCCAGACCAGCTCTATGTATTGAGTTTTATTAGGCAAAATTTCTTTCGACTGACTGAAGGATATGGTGGTTGGTTGCTATTTCTCTTTTCCTCCCAATCTGTTCATGTTAGTCGCTGTTTATCTGCTTTTCTTCTTTTCGTTTGGAAACATAAAATACATTATTGATACTGATTTTATGCTTTGAAAATGTTTTGAAGTACAGTTATTTGGACAGCTCCCCATATTAGCGAGCTTTGTCCCATTTCATCAGAAGGAAAACGTGGGTAAAGATCTTAATCCAAACCACCAGCAATTGGAACAAAGTGACTCCGTGTGCCCAACAAACTGACACCGGTTCTTACAGGACAGGTGAAGGAATTTGGTTAAAAAACCCTGGGAGCTTGCATGGACTTTGTCTCAGAAATTCTTTTACTCTCATATTTCCTTTCTTCATGTTTGTAGTTTTATGCCTAGATTTAAAGTCTTCTGTTAATAAGTATGCAATCGATGTTTGATATGAGTTCAAATGTAAATGATTTGCAGTACATGTGATGCTGTATACACCCATTTAAAAAATACTCCTTTTCAACGATAGTAGGATAGCAGATACTGAATGCCTGTGTAGCTAGACTCCTGGTGAGAAAATTCAGCTGTGACTTGGTCAGTTTGTTCAGCATTGCCTCTGGACTTGGATCTAGTCTATTAATTTATTTAAAAAGATGGAAAAAAAACCTCCCACAAAAACCTAACTGCTGCTTTTGTCTTATTCAATGATGTTTATTCTTAATGATTATCTTTCAACACTGTAGTGAAAGAAATGAGCATTTCTGTGTGTCTATTTATATGTGTTATCCTTGCTGTAACGTTTTAGAGTAGGATGCCCAGTTCTCCCAGTGAAGTAAGGCCACCAGAGATGTGTGTGAGGGCCTGAACTATAGACCATAATCATAGAGAATGCAGAAAATGGGGTAAATAGTGAAGTCAGTGTGCTGAAGAGACAAAGTTCTTTCAGAAAGCTTTAATGGTAATAGATTATTGAATTTCATCTGCGCTTTTATCACTCTATATAGATTAATGTGAAGTAATATATATGAGCACAGGAAAAAGGTTCTATTTCTACATTAAATGAATTTCTATATGTAATGAATCTTGAACTATCCATTACCACTCAGAAAAAAAGTTATAGCAGCTAGTTGTGTTTAAAATGTCAGCGTAGTAGTTGTTGAAAGAGCAAATAAAATGTTAGGATGGGAATAGAGAACAAAGTGGAAATCATTATTATGCCACTGTACAGATTCATGGTTCACTTGCCTCTTGAATACAATATGCTGATCTCTGTGTTGTGTCTCAGGGTATAGCAGAATATAAGAGATATATTAAATAAAGGCTGTGGTGATGATCAAATGTAGCTATTCCATATAAGAAACAACTAAGTGAGCAAGGATTTCTCAGGTTGGGAAAGGGACGGTGGTGAGAAAGGAGGGAAATAACATGGATCATAACGTTTTGAGGATAAGGCATGTGACCAGGGTACTGTTCATCATCTCATCCAGTACCAGATCTAAGGATGTCAGATGAAACTGATAAGAGGTGAGCTCAGGACAGAAACAGCTGAGATGTGTCTTCATATACAGGTGGAAATCATTCATGCGGGATGTTCTAGATGCTGCAAGTATACATAGGCAACTCCTAGAAGAAACAGTAACCCAAAACTGAGGCAAAGACACAACCTCTGGCTCAGAATGTCCCTGAGCTGTAAGTGGTTGAAGGTGGTGTAACGCTGTGGGGAGTATCGATAGGGATTTAAATTCTTTCCTGAGTATCCACTCTCGGAGACAAGGTACTGGGCTACAGTGGCAGTTTGGTCTGACCTTTTATAGCTGTGTTTCATTTACTTTCTGTGTAGGTCAGTGATGTTCTGCTTCTCTTGCCTCATCACTAACCAGTAATAAGAGGGACACGTTAGCTTATTTACATTTCTCTTGATCTAGAACAGTTTTCCCACTGCTGCTGTGGTCTGACTTCAAAAGTAAGATGTGAGGCAATGGCCAAAGAAGCATGCAAACCAAAACAAAATACTCTTAAACAAAAAACCCTTTACATTGGCTTGGATCCATTTCACGTGAAGGGTAATTTAAATTACATGTGTAGTGTTTGCTTGCTACTGAACTAGAAAAGTCAGAAGTCTTGTGACTGCCTAGGGGCAGAAGGCAAATCAACAATATAGAATAATCGGAATTCTGTTTTTGAGCAAAAATAGTGTGGATGAGAAATAGAAAGAGAGACTTAACTCTTTCCAGGGCCTTACCCTTTTCCTAACTCCCAGTTTTCTTTCTGTCCAGAAAGACACTATTGGCATGTTGACGTGTGTTCTGTTGTGTTGTCTCTGGTTTATTACAGCACTGTTTGTTTTTTCTCTTGTAGGTTAACAGAGCCTTCTGGATACTTAACAGATGGACCAATAAATTATAAATATAAAACTAAGTGTACATGGTTAATAGAAGGATAGTAAGTATTTCTTTTCATAGCTTAAATTTTCTGTCAGTTTGCTACTGTGTATTCTAGAGATGTAAACAACTCAAATAGAAACTGCATCTGGATACAATACGGTGGTTTTGGGGTTGGTTGGTTTGTTTGTTTTGGTTTTGTTTAAATGTTTTTAAGATTATTTTTTAAAAAAAGTTGAAGTAGGATTATCAGGATTGCTCAGAGTTGGCCAAATTCCATTTGCATTCAGATTGCTGGCAAAAGTTAGTCTGACGTTGGAATTTGGCCAGTGCTGCAAGCTCTGAAAACCCTATGATAAATTTGTTGCCTGTTTGAGTACCTTTACATAAGTTCCAAGTGTTGTTACAGGATCCTGTTATTTAACTCATTATCTTACTCTGTGGTGATAAATCAGGAATGGCTTCAAGTACAGAATCCTTCCAGTCCAATGATAATTATTCAGTTGCATGTTGCTCAAATTTTAGTGCTTCTATTAAGTATTTTCTTTTGCATTCTAGGTTTCCTCATGTACTTAACTTTAAAACCGTATTCTGCTCAGTTTTATACAGCTTAGGTGTCTCACATCTGTTGCTGATTTTTCAGTTTACACAGCACAGAAATGCAGAACTGCACAAAGAAATAATGTGACATATGTGCACTACTGTGGCTCACTGTTAGAGGCACAAATGTGTTAAATTTCAGTGGGACTCTCTTCCCCCAGGCTATGGGTTAGGATTTTGCTCAAGAATTTAGCTAGGTCCAAGTTCTTTTAATGTTCTAGAAGAAAATTACCCCCTTCTGTATTTCCCTGTTGTCATAATCTTAATTACCTTGGGTGTCTGCTCCGTTGCAGTTCAGCAATGATCCATCTGATCTAATTTTGGTCTGCTTATATGCAGTTAGTAATTTAAACACAACAGCAGTGAAGTTATGGGTAGTTTGTAAAATCACTTCAGTAGCAACTTCAATGTGTAGGTGATTATGGTATAGCTGAGTATCTTTTATGACATAGCCAGACTTCTCTTTATACTCAGACTAGCTCAGGAATATTTGCACTGCACTGTGCTGAAAGTGGAAGCACGCCTCGGGACTGTACACAACCTCTGCTTTGAAGTTGGCCTTCACTCTGTGCCTCCCCTTTGCAGGAGATGGTAGACTGGGTAGCTGGAGGAGGCAATACACTGCACAGTATGTGGAAGAGTAATGCAACCCAGTAATGTAGTGCAGAATGTCAGCACACAAGGAAGTCACATATGTATAAAATACTCCTAAAAATGAACAGAGAGCACTGTCCAAATGACCTCTCAAACAAGAAAAAGCAAATGATTTCCAAAATGAAAAACTGCACTCAAGGCTGTCAGTAGGGGAAAAAAAAAAAACCAAGATGAAATAAAATCATCAGTATGTTGCATGGAATATATTTAGGAGTCTGCTAATTTTGTCATATGAGAAAATTCCCCTTTTAGAAATCTTAGTCTCACCTGCCTCTCTACTAAAGACTGGTGTGAAATCTGACCCCCAGGTGTCAGGTAGGGGTGAGGGGCATGGGGAGATGAGAAAAACCCAATCTTACACTAATATTGCTTGTTATTTTAAATTTTGTTTTTAAGACTTTATTTCCAGTCACTAGTGCAATACTGGAATGAGGATGCGTAAGTGTGTTTTGTCTTGAAAGACTCTTTAGAACTCCTAATCCACATGTTGTAAAGCAAAGGTAGTATATTAAAATGGGATATTTTAATTGCTCTAGATTCGTGGTTCTGAATACTGATAAAATCTGGTGAACTTATATGACATGTTAACTTTAGGGATTATTAGACTTGGACTGAAGATACTATTTTTAAAATACTCTAAGTTAAAATGAAATATTTGCTTGCCTTGAATTTTGTTGTTTAAGTCTTGGAAATGTTTAGTACTGAAAATGTTTTAGTAGAGTTATGATGGCACGATCAATTTTGTTTGTAAGCTCTATCTTATGACCTCAATACTCCTGTAAGTAGTGTTTTACATCAGTGTGTTGTTCTTTTGTTTTGTTTTTTTTTTCAGCCCAAATGCAATACTAAGATTAAGATTTAATCACTTTGCCACAGAATGTAGTTGGGACCATATGTATGTATATGATGGAGATTCAATATATGCACCTTTAATAGCTGTATTTAGGTGAGTGTATTTTTTAGCCTTTTAGTCCAAGTAGTCATGTATGGACATCTTTAGTTTGTGGGGAAAAAAGATTAATTAGAGGATTTAATTCATGAAATAGCTTGCTTTCTTTTGTAAATGTTGTGGGAGCATGTGTGTAAAGTTATATTAGAATAAATTATAAAACACTGCTTTTTTGGTTGGGTGATCATAACATAAATCCATTATGTCACTTTTTCTTAATGGTGACATTGCATGAAGTATTAATGCTCATAGACAGGCAAGCAAAAATGTATTTTCTGGTACACTTCCGATAGTGACTCCCGAGTTTTAATGTGCATTAAATGTGGCACTGGCCAGTAGTGACAGTGTCTGGCCCTACTTAAGGGGAATTGCAATCTGTGACCCAGGCAATGTTGCGCTATGTCCATATATGCACACATGCTCTGTGGGGCAGAAATTGTACTTCATTTTCTGAAGTACTCGTTATGCTGCTGAAGTTAAAGAAATACTAATTGCATAAATGATTGTGCTTTTTGTTAAGGGAACAAAGCTCAGGTCATCCCTCTTTCCTGCCCAGCTATAGCAAATCTACTACTCCTTCTCTCCTGATTCTCCTAAATTGTTACATGATTGCTTGGGTGGTTTTTTCCCCTCCCAAAAGTTATATTTTTAAAAGTATGTCTAGCTATTGTTCAGGACCCTTTGACTTGTAGTGTGAGTGGAAGGAAAGAGGAGGTTCCTCTTCCTGTGCTCTTTTGTTCTGATATTTATTGATGGTCAGTGCTTTCCTTGGGATTCCTATAACTATCAAGAGTTAAGCACCTGTTCGAGGGATCTTTTTTTCCCAAGTTAAAATAAGTTTTAGAGATTATACTGACGATGTGTGCACCCTCAGAATAATCTGATGTGAAATTCTGCATTGCTGTTTGAGGGAGGAGGTTTTTTGCTTTGTTTTCCTGGAAAAGCCTGCCTTACGTTGCAGAGGCACAGTCAAGTTTCGTATGCATTTTATTGGATTTTAAAAAAAAATTTGAGATTTGAGTTATCGTGTTTGTATAATTAGCAACCAGAATAGCTAACTTTAACTCTTTTTCTTGCCCCCCACCCCCATCTCCCGAAGACTGATTTAAAACATTATTCTCATTGGTTTTTTTCCCTAGTGGTCTAATAGTCCCCGAAGTGCGTGGAAACGAAACTGTTCCTGAAGTAGTTACTACATCTGGCTATGCATTGCTCCACTTTTTTAGTGATGCTGCTTATAACCTAACTGGATTTAACATTTTTTACTCGTGAGTATTTTTTAATAAGTAATTACTTTGTTAATTAGCCTATTATTCCTTTTAGGAGAACATAAAACCTGGAGGAAGTGTTTATCCTACTGATTTTATTAGTAGTGTAAGAGTTATGCTTTGTGTTACGTTTCTGAAACCAAGGAGGGGAGGTTGTAATGAGTAGTCATTAAGGTACTAGTTAAAAAAAAAGAGAAAATGAGAAAACATTGTTGGGAGTGAAGCCACACGGCCGTTCCAGGGGGTGTTTTTCCTATGCCATATGGAAGTAGAATGTATCCCTTCCAGTATTTATCCGACAAGTGTAGTTGTCATATGGAGTAGAAGGGATATTATATCTGCTGTCGTGTCAGTTCTGTTCTCTTGAACTGGGATCATCTGTTGCTTGGTTTTTTGTTTTTTGTTTTTTGTTGGTTTTTTTCCCTTGCTGAATGTACTTTTATGGCTTTTGACACCTTCACCACAGTCCTACTTTTATTTTCTACTAGCCACAAGGTTTTATTCCATTTCTTCTCTACTTTTGAGGTACCTTCCTCTCTTATTTGTCCATCTCAGTCTGCATTCTGCCTTCACCGTTCTTTTCTGGACTGCCCATCTCTCAGTTTCTCTGATGGCAAAGTCTGCAATCACTACGCTTGCCTTCCTCCAGTCTGCTTTTCTGTTTCTGCGGCTGTAAAGATACAACCTTTTCCTTCTTATATGCACAGGCTCTTGATTGCAACTTCTGTCTCATTTGGGAAGTGCTTGTGACACGTGATGTCATGTCTCTTTGTACTGGATGATTTAGCTCAAGAGAGAATTTCTGGGTCCCGTTGGAGCTGTTTCTTCATGTGATAATTCTCCCATGATTGAAGCTATTCTTGTTCCTTCACATTCTTAAATGACGGTTTTTGGGATGTGATGACCAGCACTGTACTTCAGATGTGGAAGTGCATGTAATATTTTTGTTGCATTCTTCATTAATTTAAAATTCCTGTTTGTGCTTCTGACCATAGCTTTACTCTTGGCAGAGTTCTTTGTCAAATTGTCTATGGAAAAATTGCTTCTATAATTTGCAGCAGTTTGCTTGTCTTTTATCAGAAAATAAATAGTTACTCAGAGTTTGGGAAAGGTCACTAAATTTGTTGTACTGGAAATGACAGTCTGGAAGACTGAGTACTTTTAATTCTTGTCAGTTTACATCAGTAAAATGCAGTCACCTGGCAGACCTCTGTACTGTAATTAGAAACATTTTTCAGTTATCCCTGAAGCTTTTATTGCACTTTTTTCCTGTGTCTTGGGAGAGAATGGCAATATGACATGGCATTCTTAAGAAATGAGTGTATGTGCTCTGCATTCTTTTATGACTTGGTAATGTGGTGCATGCTACATATCGTTACTTAATTTTTTGGAAGACTTAAAATAAATGAAAAAACTGCCAGTTTCTAATTCCATTACATATAAGACTCATGAAATTTTATATACTCTGTTCTTCTGTTTCTTCTATTGCAATGGATGCTTTTAAAATTTATTTTTTCATGAGCCAATTGTAACTTTTTTATAAGTACTGTCACTGATCTGTTGCATTCTGCTTCTGCTACCCTCTTTCTCCCTTGGTCTGGTAACCCAAAGCAGTTTTTGACTTCATCTTTGGCTTTATCTTGGTGGACCACTCCTGTTCCTTTCGTCTGGGGAAGACGGAAGCACAGCATCTGTGACTAAAATGCTGTGCTAGTTGCAAACACCAATAGTTACTCCAGAACTGAGTAAATTTTCTGTTCTTTAGAGCCAGTCAACCTGCTTCCAGCCCTGCCAGTCCAGTTTTTCTCATTCTGTTTGAATCCTTAATGAACCCATTGAAGTGGGAATATGTCTACTTTTAAACTGGCATCTCTATTGCTGGAAAGACTTAGCTATTCACTTTCCTGCAGAACACTTTCCCTATGAAGTCAGGGGGAGAGGCTCCCACCAGCTGGGGTATAAAGCAGTTAATATCATCAGTGATTTTAATGCCATGTGTGTTACTGGGCAAAGCCTGCAGGACATTTGCAGTTCAGACACAGAGTTTTCTTTTTTGGTAGTGTAAGAGCATCAGTCCTCTGATATCTGGGTCTAAAAAGATGAAATCATGTTTCCTCCTACCACAGTTACATTTGGCCAAAGGCTGGCCTTGATCAATTCCTCCCTAACCTATTCAGTTCTTTCTTCCTTTGGCAAAAGCAGGGAAGGCAATGAACAGTATCCAGCTCTCACATCTACAGTGAGCAGTCTATGTTATCATCAGGAGTTTGTAGTGACAGTTTATTCTGAGTTTCAACCCAACCCTTTGCTGTGAGTCATTAGAAAAGGTTTCAAATCTTTTTTGGACTTTGTCAGGCTCATACAGCCCTAAATCCATGTTCTGTTTGTGGAGTCACTTAGATCCACGTACTTCAATGTCCTCCATCCCTCCTCATCCCCAAGGAATTTTCTGCACTTCTAGAACCAGCTTACAGAATTTTGCTGAGTCCAGTTGCCTGTGATCTCAGTGTTCTGTAGGGTGTAGCACAAAAATGCTAAATTTCATGGCAGTCACAAAGTTTTTCCAGGCCAATCTTTCCTCTTTTTGTGTTTCTGACTGCAGAGTTAAGGAGGCAAGATTAAGGTGGCCCTATTATTAAAGATTCAAAGCATGAAGTGCTGCTTTTTGGCAGTTTCAGGGTATTAGCTATCTCATATTTTGCCTCGCTTATTTTTCCAATTTTATTCTCTTTGGATGTTAGACATTGTTTTATAGTATGGACCAAAGCCTCTCAGGAAAACCCTTTTACTTTATGCCTGTGGTGGAGACTTTAAGGGTTACTGCTCATAGTCACTTCCAGTGGATGTTCTGAGAGATAACAAGCATTTGAAGGGACAGACTGAAGAGTGCTTGCACTGGAACATGGAAAAAATGAGATGGTAGTATGTCGAGGCAGGGCCTGTCCTTCTGCTTAATGTCTGTACTTCTTAAAGTACAAGATGTCTGTGATCCTGATGCATCACAAACTTTGTGTAAGCCTGGATGATCACCTTTTCAGCTCACTTGCCTGTAGAATCACAAATAAACTTTCTGTTTTTTCAGTACATAGAAATTTTTCAAGAAAAGAGGTACTTTATCTAACAAATACTGTTGGGGTACTGTCAGATAAAACCACTGTTATCAACTCTTGGCTTGTCATTTCCCTTACTTTACTTTTTTTTTTCCCCAGAATTAATTCTTGTCCTAATAACTGCTCAGAGCACGGGAAGTGTACGACCAGCGTGTCCGTCCCCAACCAGGTGTACTGCGAGTGTGACAAGTACTGGAAAGGAGAAGCCTGTGATATTCCATATTGTAAGGCCAACTGTGGCAGTCCAGACCATGGGTACTGCGATTTGACGGGCGAGAAGCTGTGTGTTTGCAATGATAGTTGGCAAGGTAAGGTTTTGTTATTTGCAATCAAGTTAATCTTTAATAAAATGAACTGCTTTTAATGCATCCTGTTGTGTATGTATATTAGCATCTTTAAAGAAGAAACATAAATGGGAAACTGATTTCTGGAGTAAATTTTCATGTGTACCTAGATGTGTGTACTTTCAAAAGTAAAAGACTCACAGCTTTGATACTTCCTGTCTGAAGGTACTGTGGAAATACCTGACCTAAACTTTCTTGTGGCGGGCATTCTTCTTTACAGGATATAAATTTGAAAAAATAGTTTCAGTAATTACTCAAGTGTTGTGAGCACTGCTGAAGACTAAGTTCCTCCATAGTCTAATTTTGTATTCTACTAATTTCTTTGATGTCTAGATAGATTTGATTTTCTTCCACCCTTTCTTAATGTCACATCATCACATCATATTTTTAGGGCTTCCTGAAGTAGGTATTCACTGTTTTTTTTTTTGTGTATTATTTGCATAGCCTCTCAATGAAAAAGGAAGGGAAGCTGTTTTGTTGCAATGGTACAGGAATGTCTCTGTGGATACTTACTGTGGAGTAATAAATGTACTATAAGCATGTGCTGTGGTTTTACTCCCAGTACCATAAATCATTGTTTCTTATTAAAGTTCAATTATTTAAGATCCTAAATGTTTAATTCACTTGCTATAATTATGCTAGATGTTTGTGAATGCTATCTTTTTATCCTTTACTACTCCTTTTAGAAGTCTCAATTAGATTAGCTTGCTATGCATTGAAATTGCCATTCTTCCCTTAGAAGAAATATTAAAATACCTCCAGATCACTTAGCTGATACGCCCTCTTCCCATTACTTCCTGCATCTACTTTTCTTCTATTGCTGTTTCTTTTTACATGTCAAAGGAAATGACTTTTTTATTCCTATTAGCTGTCACACCTATTAGACCAAAGACACCATGAGATTTAATACATTTCTCCTCTTAATAATTAATGAATTTATTCATTAAAAGGCAGTCAGTGCACCCAGAGAAAGGAAATGGGTTAGTAATACGGTCATTGAGTGGAAACAGTGCAGACTTGTTACTGAGTCCTCCAGAATGTTTCATGATTGTAGTGCATAAAAAAAGATCCTGAAAGCCTAATCTCTGTAAGGGAGTTGTGACTAGAACTTGCAACTCTTTTATTTGTGCATTGATTCCTTGCAATTTCAGATCACTGAATACAAAATGGGGAAAAATCCTAAATCTTTGGAAGCACTTGTTAGGCTACATCTTCATTAAATTTTTGAGCACAAAATAAAATTAAAATCCTAACTTTCACTCTTAGTACCTTATTTCTGTCTGGCATTTCTGTGCATACTTGTTTCCTATTCTTTACTACAGTGAGTAGGATTTGTAGAGATAATTTGCTTAGTTGTTCCCTGGATTTTTGCTTTACCTACATAATTTTCAATTAATTGATTTTTTTTTTTAATTATTCTGTGCCAGATGAGCTGACTTGGATAGATAATTGTTGTTCCCTGTTAAATAAAAAACAGTGCCAAACTTCCCTTAAGCTCTCCGGGAGATGGTGTGCTTCTATGTTCTAGTTAGTTATTTATCTCTATTTACTCTCTTCATAGTTTTCACATGACAGTATCTTCTCTGTAGGTCATTTGCAATGCTGGAACTATAAAGTTTTTCTACTTATCTTAATACTCTTGCTATCAATTTTTTCTTGTTTGGTAATTCAAACCAAGTACGTCAAGCCAGGACTTGATTTCTATGTATTTGAAGAGAATTTTTTGGTTTGGGTGTTTTGGGTTTTTTTCTGCTTTTTAAAGTATGTTTACTCCTTATAATAAAAAAACCCCACCTCATTGGACTGCATTGACTGAGATATACTACAAATAAAATCCGTGGTTCAGGTATTTCATATGTTACAACGCATGGGGTTTCTTTCTTTAACAATGGTGACATCTTGTGGATGCTGTGGACGGAGCACATCTGAAGGAAATTTCACATCTAAAACATTTTTCTGATGAAAGAGAACACCGTATCCTTTGGGATAATAGAATTGTTTTCAGGAAAAAGTAACGTACTCTCGTTATTAGATAACATCTCTTTTGTAGAAGAAGGGTGTGGATATTTGCACTTAGCTGCTAGTTGTACAAATATAGAATAATGTCATGGCATTAAAAGCAAATAATTTAATAACAATTTTTTTCTTTTTAACAAAAATACATTTAATTAAAATGTACTTGTTAAATGTACTTCTTGTTAAAAAGAAAATTATTATTTTTAATAATAACATTTAAGAGTGTTAAATGTTTCTGAGATGGTTGGTCTCAAGTACATACAGGAAGAAAATTTAATATTTACTTGAAAATTCAGACAACGTAAAGGAGATGGAAGCTTTTCCTGAGCAGTGATTCCTTTTGAGTACTGCATCATATTGTGCTGTCCCATTACTGGCTAATTTGTCTTGATATTCAAAAGCAGAATGTGTAGATGTCTGCTGATACAGGCTGTAGATGTGACTTGGGGAGGAAAAAAGATGTCTTAAAACTACTGAGTTGCTCTCCTTTTTTCTTTGCTAGGCACAGATGAAAAAGAAACGGGGACTTGGCTGAGGTGGAAGTGGTGGCTCTTGCACTATTTGACCTATTTAAGAATTTAAAAAGATAGTTTAGAGAAATAAGTTACCTTTTGCTAAATGTCTTTACAGCTGGCAAATTCTCTTTGATACCAGAAACTTTGTCTTTCATTTTCTTAGGCTGTAAATGAGCAGGGGAGATTTCAAAACACTTAACTTCTGTAATGGGTTTAAACATCCAGGATGATTGGAAGGATTGCAAACAGTTCCACACTTTTACAAGGGCTAAGTGGGTTATCTTTGGAAATACTAAAAATATTCCTAACGTCTATGAATGTGTTATATTCTTTTAAAAAGTAGTATTACAGGTCTTGTTGATAGATCTGTTCTTTGATTTCTTCAAGGAGATTGTTTTAATACCATGTTAAGGAAACAACTAGCCTGCTGCATATTAACTAGGTTAAAAACTGTTTCACAGTTATATAGCTACCTGTAAAACATGCGGTAGCCAAGTGATTGATTGGAGAATTTTCCAGTGACCAGTTTTTGTCTGATGTTAAATCACATTTTTATAAAAGATCTTAATTATTACATATAACTTTTCCTGATGAGATTTTTCAGGTAAGATAATAAGATTCACTATGTGGTAAATAAAGGGAGATAGTTCCATTTAAAAAGTAATAAATCATCCATTTCAAAGTCATAATTTAGAAAATTGTCTTAATATCACTTAACGTACAATGATCTGAGAATAAATCTGCAGGCTGTATTGGTAGATGAAAGGCTGCCTTAGAAAGAGATTGTTATAAGACTTGCAAATCACTGCGGGTAATAATTTTCATGTGAGGAATTTTGAGCAGGGAGCAAATGACCCTTTCTCTGAGTCAGGCTTTTAGGAGAAAGCATTGGATTATAGTGCCCAGTTTAGGGGTCAGCACTTTAGGGAGGAGTGTAAATACCAGTGAGAACTCGGATCATGCCGCAAAACTGTGCTTACCAGGGAACAGGCCTGCGATGGAAAGATTCAGGAGTTAGTGATGACTCTATCACTGAATGAGAATCCTGGCTGAGAGAGCTCCTGCAGAGGCACGGTATGTCCCTGATCCAAGGCGATGTGGGGATCTTGGTGCCCATGCCTTTCACACTGAGTAAAGAAAGTTAAAGAAGAGTTAAAGACTATTGAATTTAAGATAAACTTTATTGGTACTTCGGTGGTTGGACTCCATGATCTTAAAGGTCTTTTCCAACTGAAACCATTCTGTGATTCTAGACAAGAGGAACATCAGTACTACAGGTGAAAAGGAGGTCTGATTGGGAGGAACTACAGGGTATGTTTACGTTACTCTTCAAAAGACTCAGTAGGGTACCTTCAAAGCAAGCCTGATCCTCCATGTATACTGTGTTTTGGCTTGCATTGTGAGGAGATTTGAAAGCACAGGAACTGCATTCCTTTTAGATCAAACTGCACCAGAAGATGAGCTCCAGGGTTGCACACAATGTGCACCAGCCACAAACAGGCATTCGGTCCCAGGGATGAGATCTAATCCAAAGTTAAAGCACAAATAAAAAATCTGGAATGTGTACAGTCAGCCGTTTCTCCCTACAGATCTGCCCCTAGCAGATAGAGATGTAGCGGAAGACCAGATTCTGAAATTAGACTAATTAACTTTGAAATAAGTCTATTAGCAATTCAGGCAGCTTGAATTTTATAACATCTCTCTAGGGAAAAATGAGCCTTTATGTAAGGAGAAAAGTAAACAATGAAAGTATAAAAGGAGTGCTATGACTATTGCACTGTAAAATTCAGTATTTTGCCTTGCTCATTACTGTGGTGGCTGTTCTAACAGCATCTCGAGTATGGCCAGACTACTATGTCGATGTGTGCCTATCCTCGACTTGGGTTATCCTGAAAGGACTAGATAGAGTTGAGTTCATTCCCACTGCTTCAGTGGAAGCCTTTGAGGTGGTACTCTCATTTGGCCTCCCTTATTCCACAATGGTGAGAGTTAGCAAAGCTGTGCTTGTGTGGTGGTGGTTTATTGAAACCAAAGGAGAAGGTTTGAGCTGTGAGCTCAGGCAGTAGCAGTGGAAGTGCAGAGCTGGAAAGAGGTTGTGCCAAATGCTAAGAGGTCTGAAATCGGAGATTTTGGCCTGTGGTGACTGAATGGTCTTGAAAAAATCCAATTTCTGCACTCTGTAAATTTTATTATGTGTATCATAGAAGTAAGAGTTGTCTAAGACAATTTTGTACATGCAGAATTCATATGAAGGAATTGGCTTAACACAAATGGTTATTTTATATATATTGGAAACGTGTTCATCAGTTTTGTGTGAAAACAATGAAAAAACCCCAAAGAACTAAACCAAACATTTACCTGTACACAGGTAAATGAAGTGCCAACTTCAGTTTTAAATACCTTTAAAGTGTCTGCTGACAATTAGCAAAGGCA